GTCGAGGAGGAGGAGGTCTTGGGTCTTCTCGGAGGTGTCGCCGGAGAGAATGGCAGCCTGGACGGCGGCACCGTAGGCAACGGCCTCGTCGGGGTTGATCGACTTGTTGGGCTCCTTGCCGTTGTAGAAGTCGGAGACGAGCTTCTGGATGCGGGGAATACGAGTGGAGCCACCGACGAGGACAATCTCGTGCACATTGCCCTTGTCGATCTTGGAGTCGCGGAGGACCTTCTCGACGGGCTCGAGGGTAGAGCGGAAAAGGTCCTGGCAAAGCTCCTCGAAACGAGCACGGGTGAGCGAGGTGTAGAAGTCGATACCCTCGAAAAGCGAATCGATCTCGATCGAGGTCTGAGTCGCCGACGAGAGAGTACGCTTGGCACGCTCGCAAGCGGTGCGGAGACGACGCAGAGCACGAGGGTTCGAGGAGAGGTCTATTGAAGTAGAGTCAGTTTCAAATCATGAGTAAAGAACGGACTACAAAATGACGCACCCTTCTTGTACTTCCTCTTGAACTCCTGAACAAAGTGGTTGACGAGACGGTTGTCGAAGTCCTCACCACCAAGGTGAGTATCACCGGCAGTGGCCTTGACCTCGAAGATACCCTCTTCGATAGTCAAAAGGGACACATCGAAGGTTCCTCCACCGAGATCGAAGATGAGGACGTTCCGCTCGCCCTGGGTCTTCTTGTCGAGACCGTAGGCAATGGCTGCAGCGGTAGGCTCGTTGATGATACGGAGGACGTTCATACCAGAGATGGTACCCGCATCCTTGGTCGCCTGACGCTGCGAGTCGTTGAAGTAGGCGGGGACGGTAACGACTGCGTTGTTGACGGTGGTGCCGAGGTAGGCCTCGGCGGTCTCCTTCATCTTCAGGAGGACCATCGACGAGATTTCCTCAGGGGACTACGGTATCTCATCAGTACCAAAGCCGAGACCTGGACACGGAATAAACTCACAAATTGCTTGGTCTCCCCGCGGTACTGAATCTCGATGTAAGGCTTGCCGCCCTTGTCGACGACCTTGAAGGGGAAGTGCTTCATGTCCGCCTGGACCTCTGCGTCCGCGAACTTGCGGCCGATGAGACGCTTGGCGTCGAAAACGGTGTTGTGTGGGTTCATCGCGACCTGGTTCTTCGCGGCGTCACCGATCAATCGCTCATTGTCCGAGAAGGAGACATATGAGGGAGTTGTCCGGTTACCCTGGTCGTTGGCGATGATTTCGACACGATCATTTTGCCAGACACCGACGCAGCTGTACAAAGAGACGGTGAGTACTTTGCCGGATCGCACACTAGGGTGGATTACGTACGAGTAGGTGGTACCCAAGTCAATGCCGATGGCCTTTGGGGTCGACATGATGGAGAGTGTTCGTGAAGGTAGTGAAAAAGGAAAAGGTCGTTAAGAGGGGGTGAGAGGGGTCGTTGTTAAACAGAAAACAGGTTGAGGGCCGGCTTGTGGCGGGGGCGAGGTTTTTATACGACCCATTGCTGCCTGCGTTCTTTTCGTTTCTCGCACCTTCCAACCACTTTCTACGCCATTCCCGCCCGCGCCTCCACCCACGTGGATACTAGGCGCCCATCTCCAGAGCCTTCCCCAAGCGTTCCTGCGCTTCGAGCGCACGCCCGAGCCTCGCGTAGGATCGTCGACGAGCTTCGCGCATTCACTAGTAGGCCGTGCTACATTCCTGCTAGATCTCCCAGAATCTTCATCCGACGCCAAATATACACCGGTCATCGTCGTTCGCACAAATTTCGAGGAGAGCAGCGATGTTCATGACAGCAGAGCAACTAGTTCTAAGACAAGCGGCAACTAAGGTGTATGTATAATAAGTACCACGGACTGCATTTCAGTAGTATCGAATATACTCCGTTAGTCCATCCCGCGAATGCATGAGCCACGGGCAACTACTGAGGGTACCCGGGAGGCGGTACCATGCCCATCTCCTCCGGAGTGAACGACGCGCTCTCGATCATCACACCGACGCCAACCTTTGCCGAGTTCTAGCATCACAGTCAGCGGACCCCCAGAGCCCATAAAAACGCCTTGATTCACTCACCTTGAAGTGATCGATCTCGCCACTGAACAAGAATCCAAAGCTCGGAGCGAAGCGCTGTTCGAGCAGCGCGCTGACCTTTCCGGTCGAGTCCAGCTGCGCGCGGAAAGTCGCCATCCTCAGATCCCACTTCGCTCCAAGCGTCGCGACAGCGTCGCGCTTGTTGGGGACGTTCACGACCATGAGGTCAGCCGCGAATTCGAGCTTCTCTGAAAGCCTTTGCCAGTATGTCGATTGGATCATACCCTGCGGCTGTAGCGTCGCCGTCGCGATCCAGCCCTGATCCTTGTTGAAGATGGGCGAGGTATACTTGGCGTGGTACTGCAGGTTGAGGTCCGCCATGCCTGGCTGTTGATTCTGATACATGGCTTCAACGCCCAAGGCGAGGCTTTTGGTGACGGACTGGAAGACCGAACCAGTCCACATAGCTGACAGGTCTACTGGTGAGGGGTTCATTACGCGGACGTTCACCGAGTAATCGCGGCCGAGGTAATCATGCTCAGCGGCGAGGACATTGTGACCACCTGCCGAAGACAGCTGTAACGAGCGTGTGTGTGAATATTATGGACAGAGGTCATCGGAGCTACGCGTAGCGCACCTGAAGTTGGATTTTGCTCAAGTTAGATGCATTCCAGTTGGAGTGGATTCGTCCGCTTAGGCTTCCGTCATTATCAACGCTACCTTGTAAGAGGAGCTAAGTGTGTACGCATCACGAGGAGCCAAATGGTGAGAACACGTGCAGCAATAGAGGGTAGATAACACACCTTTTCGGTGGCAAGCACTGCAGCAAAGTTATATGATGGCGGAATCATTTGGCCTCCAAGCTGGAAAGAGTGTGTAACTTGGAATTGCGGGTTCATAGACATGGTCTTCGTCAAGTCCGCACGAGCACCGTCGAACATGAAGTTCGTCAAGAGCGTCACTGTAATCCATGACCGTGTCGATCATTGAGTGCCGTGAGATGGGTGAGACAACAGAAGGAAGAGCAGCGTCGGAAGACATAGGTAGAGACATTCCGTTAGTCCCGCTGACTCTCAACCAAATAGAAGATAGGCGGACTGACTCTTGGGCTCCTTCTGGAGATTTTCGACTGTACCCGGGTTGGGCATATCTAAGCCCTGCCTCCATGACTGGAGACGGTTGTACAAGCTCGTCACGGGCGCGAACAGGCCAGAAGCTGACGACGTCGAGGGCCCAGCGGAGACCTCTTTTGAGACGACGGGCACAGCGCCCGGGAGAGCTGCCGACGACGCCATCCTCTCCTAAGGCTCAGACAGCTACGACGAGCGGAAAGGAAGACGAAGTAGAGGCGAAGGAGGTGGTGTTGGCTGATGACACGAACCACCTGGCGAGAGAAAGTCACCAGAGCGTTGTTTGTCTCTGTGTGAACGACAGGAGCGCGCTTCGCGAGCCAGCGCTAGTCCACTGTCGCCCAAAAAATTCCCAGAAGATCGCGAGCGACCTCAGCCTCGACTGGGACACATAGTATCTATTGGTGTACTGGAGGATCTGCTATACGTTGAATATGTATTGATGGGTAAAATACATCTACTCGCTTCCTCTGAGGCCGCTGAGGTCCTACGACCAAGTTAGCAAGAAGTTGATGACGTAGTGAGGGTTGACAATGACAGCTGCAGGCTTCACATCGCGCGGGCAGCCGTCTGTCGTCTTTCCTCTTCATCCTACTCTCACTCACACAGGAGAATGTCTGGAGAACCCTTGATAAAGCTCAAGAATGTTGGGTGCAGCAAGGCGCCTGGGCAGCCCATCTTTTCGAACGTCAGTCTCACCGTGAATGCCGGCGACGTTATTGTTTTGCAAGGCAAGAGTGGTAGTGGGTGCGTACCGAGTTTATTTTAGCGATAATCAGGGACATGTCTCATCTATTTCTGCGTGCACAATGTAGGAAGACGACCCTCCTGAAATGCTTTGCGCATCTCAACCTGTACGAGGGCGAGATTATGTACAGAGGCAAGTGAGTATATGCTCCAGACTCTGTGCTTGGCCTTGATCTACAAATAATATTTGACATGCAGGACACCTCAATCATACGGTTCGTGCCCGTTGATTTGACTGACTTCATGATGCTCAATGTTCAGCAGGCATCCCGAACTTCAGGACACGCGTGCTCTACGTGCCCCAAAGGCCGTCGCTCTTGCCAGGGACCCCACGCGACTTCTTGAATACCATCAACAAGTTCAACTCGCGTAACCCCAATGGGGGTATGTCCGGCTGGTTCACATTTGGCCAAAATAAACAGAACGACGATCGTGACCGTTCCGCAGAGGCGAACGAGTCTGACGCGGCCCATGCCCCAATTAAGGTAGGAAAATCATGGGGTATCGCGGAGGAGCTATGGGATCGTAGCTGGGGCAACCTCAGTGGAGGCGAGTCCCAGAGAATTGCGCTCGCAGCCGCAGTCGGGCTTGGTAATGCCGAAGTTTTGCTCCTAGATGGTATATTGTTCACGTCATGTCGTTTACTGCGATATTGACATCATCCTACGTAGAGCCGACGTCCGCTTTGGATGCGAGTACGTCCGAATCCGTGGAGAATTATCTGCTTGACGAAGTGAGGGAGGGTAAAGGGAAGTTGAAGGCGCTGATATGGATCACCCACTCTGAAGAGCAGGGAAGGCGTGTGGGTACTAGGTTCCTGCGTATCACGGCTGGAGGGTTGAGTGAAGGGGATGAACAAGCGTGTGTTTAGTCCAAAATATCACACCAGTTCGCTTCCCCTTTCTCTTATGTTGGCTCACTACGATTTTTTGATGTCCCAGAACGTGGATTTATGTGGATCGCTGGCAACCTGAACCTGAACTACCAGCTGTGACATACAGATATATCTCAGTTGTGTGATGCATACTAAGTATACGCCCATGAACCAAGTCATCTCAAGTGTGAAAAGGCTCAATACATCATGGACATACCGGCGAACGCGAAATTTTTAGGACCCTTAGCTCAATCGGTAGAGCTTTGTACTTATGAGGTTAATGTATGCAAGGGTCCCGAGTTCGATTCTCGGAGGGTCCATGCTTTTTGGCTCCTCCGCCAGACAGCCAGGACCGGACACTGGAACCCTAGGAAGCTAATGTGTGAGTAGTCCAATTACTAGACTTATTCACATTAGTAGTTTTTACAACTCTAAGGGCTATGGTAAAAGGCTTGAGGTCCTCACGGACAGCATCACCAATAGACCTGTTGCATAGTACTGCCCATGTAGTACCGTCAGCAAATAGCTTCATTACTATTACAGTAAAATAAGTTAGAGAACTCTAGTCCTCATAACAAGTCCTCACGTATACGTAGTTGCTGTACCGTGTCATTGCTGACAGTAGTATGAGATTAAGGTTCCGACTATTTAGATTATATGGCTTCATATCGAGTCACTTTTCCCGCCTTCGTACTATCATGTGTACCCTACAGCTCGACCTCGGGGTCGTTTCGTCTGTGGAGTAGCCGTCTTTAACTTTTCCCCCATACTCTGGTAGACTCGTGACCAGTCTACTTGGTTGAGGAGGAGGTACCGAAGATGAATGTGAAAGTTTGGTACCTTGGAATGCCCTGGTCTCTATATATTACTAGGCGGCTGGTTCACGAGCCTAATACTCAGGCGCCTACGTCAACATTGCTAGCGCCGTCCAACGATTTCGTCAGACTGCTTGGCCTAATGCATTGCACAGACCAGGATAGCATGGAAAGCAGTGATATGGTAAGTCGAAGGGGTTTCAATGCGGCTTGAATAGTGTTTTGCCCTGCAGGCCTGGAAACCTATATACTGTTTATAAACTGTTTACACTAGATGCCTTCCCGCAGGAAAATATAGCATGTTAAATGATTATGGCGGAGGTTCAATTAACGACGCCATGAGAATGATACAAAACCGTAGGGTGAGCTGTTCAGAGCTTGCTCATGGGCTGTACATTGTACAACGGCATCCTCAATTCCGTCCGACACGGCGGCTCACTAGATCTGCCGACATGCCGGGGCGGTTTGTTGAGCGAATACAATCTACAACGCGTTGTAGATGGCTGCGGGAAGGCATCCACTGGTACTGTTTTTTTAGAATCTGAAGCATAAAGTAAACGGTTGAGTCTTCATGAGATATTGTTGTACGACTTATTGGTTATACAATGATAAAACTGTGCTAAAATATAAATGGACCCTCCGAGGGTTGAACTCGGGACCTTTGCATAGTATGCTCTGGTACACGATAACCACATAAGTACAAAGCTCTACCACTGAGCTAAGGGTCCGATGCGTAAAGGCTGCCCAAGTAGCACATAAATCTCCTTCATTCGTCATCTCAACGCCTCAACTTGCTACTTCAATAAGGTCATACTTACGATACCACAGGTAGCCTTCAGATAACATAGCGTTCTATATATACATCAAGAAGATAGCGACGGACAACATTGCCCGAGCGGGCCAGCGATAGCATCAGATCAAAGTCGACACGACAGATGAATGCATACTCGAGAGAAAAGGATCATTGAGGTACATGTTTCGCAGGTGTGGCTTGAAGAGGGACGTGGAGAGGGACTTCGTTCCGAACTGTCAGAATTGGGGTCGCAATTCGGCTGGTGCTTCCGGTCATAGGGGGTGGCATGTTGCCCATGGATGTACCGTTTGGAACGCCGTTGGTAGCACCTGATCCATGCGGAATTTGGGCAGGCGACATAACGGCCGGGGACCCGGCGGGTGCGGGCGGCGGTGGCATCTGGGCCGCGATAGTGCGATTCATCCAAGCGTAGATCACCTCTACTGTCTTGAACGTTAATTGGAGCTTGTTCATGACATTCTGGGCCAGTTGTGTGTTCTGTTTCGTTGTCATCTCCTGCACTGATTCCTTGAGGTCTTCGAACATAGGCGCGATGTCTTGGCGGATACTTTGCAGTAGGCGGGGACCGACAGTCTCCATGATAGTCTCGATATCCGGAAACGCTTCCGCAGGAGGGGGTACAAATACTGGGGGCGGTGCTGGGGGCGGTGAAGTGGGGCGTGAGATGAACATCTGTAGGGCGGTATTCAAGGCTTCCATCTCAGCCTTGAATGCTTTCAACGTCTCGGCGGATTCCAGGCTTTGTTGCTCCAGCTACGCGATAAGTTTTAGGGTCAAGTTGCGCCGGCATGATTCCCAGGACTACTTACCATTGCGATTCGTTCTTTCATTTCCTGATTCTCCTTCTTCAATCTTGCCACTTCGTCGTTGGTCCTCTGTGCGTTGGTGATTATTTCGGCAATTTCGTGGGCGATACCTGTGAGGTCTTCTCCTGCACGCTCCATTTCTCTTTCTACATACTGCAGACGCTCTGCTGCGGTCTTACGCTGTCCAGTTGTTCCTTGACCTGTGTCCGGGGGCTCATTGTCGACGGCCATCCTATCGTCGTCGCTTTGGATATGGGAAAGGTTTAGCTCCTGAAATCGTTCCTCCATTCGTGCTTCCAACTCCGTTATGGCATCCGAGTCGAACTGAACCATGATATTCTCGATGTCAGATATTCTGTCATCAATCGCATTGAGTCTGTCAGAGATGGACTCAAGTTCACGAGGAGGCGTTGGTAGACGCTGTGCAGTGAGAGAGAGCGACGAGGCGCGAGGTTGAGACGAGGAACGAGGTTGAGACGAGGCCCGAGTCGAAGGAGTTGGCTGCACAGCCGAATCGGTCACATCCATAGCTTCGCTTGGCCGTATCCGTGTCATGGATGGTCGATCTCCGACTCCGGCGGTATCTTGTAGCTCAGCCATCATCTTGTAAAGCTCAGTGACACCGTCCCGGACTTGCCATACTACCGTGCTCAATTCCTTGAACCTTTCCTCCACTTTAAATCCTTTGACGTTAGGCCCGTCCCATCCTAGTTCGCGCTCCTTGCCCTTGCCCTTTGACGTGTCCGCGTTGAACCCCGACCACGTCAAGCTCGCGTCCCAGAATTGCGAACTAGCCAATTTATACACCAGCTCGTTGAGTTCGGATCGTTTCGCGGTGCATTGCTCTTCGGTCGTCTTCACTTGCTTGTCGAGATTCGCGCGTGCGGCGTCGGAGAGATTGGCATGCTGTCGGGAAGTGAGGAGGGCCTTTAACTGAACGAGCTCTCGTTCCAAGGCGACATGTTGTGTGCGGACTTGGACGGCATCGGCGAGCTGCCTAACGGTGCGAAAGGTGATGTCAGACAACCTGAGAGCGCGAGGTACAATTATCTACGTACTTGATACGATCCACCCACAATTGAGCTTTCTCCAGCCGACTAGGCTCTTGTGTGGTTGCGCTCGTTGCAGAATTCTGACCCGTGACGGTAGGTGAAGAAGGCGTTGCGGTTGGCGATAGTGTAGTGGATGACCGTGGCGTCGCAAGTTTCAAGGTAGGAGGTGGTGGGGGCATAGGGTTCGATATGGTCTGCGAGGAAGAAAGGGCCTGTACCTGCGAATGTGTCGTGGTAGCACTGGCCGCGCTGTTCTGTCTGAGCCGATACGCGCGTGAATGGGCATCTGAAGACGTCGAGGGAGATTTGTCCCGGTCTCGGTACCCCCCTCTGTCACCGTACGAGGAGCCCGGCTCACGCGTGTATGATACGCTCGTGGGCGCAGAAGTATTACGTGAAAGTGAAGGGGAACGTACGCGGTCCGCCAGAGATGGTGCAGGTACATTTCGTGTCGGAACCGAAGAGGTGCTCGCGGACTTCAGAGGTGAGCTGCCACCAAGCGGCAGGTTTTTGCTGCCCGTACTAGACACCGCAGCGGCAGGCGACGATAGTATGGGGGTGCGCAAGAGCCTCGTATCTCGTGCTGTGGACGCGGGCGTGTTGGGACCAGATGAAGCTGCTCGCGGAGACCTCGCTCCCTCACGATCTCTCTCTCTCTCTCTGTCCCACGTATCTCTCCCCCTGTCCTTATCCCGAGCACGATCGATATCTCTGTGTCTCTCCCTGTCTCGCGCACCCAGGTCCCTAGAATCCTTGTATCGGTCTCCATCCCTGTTTCTGTCTGCATCTCTCGCTGGTGCGGGTGGTGGATCGGACCTCGTCTTGATGGCATCCCACCACTCAGGCTCATCGGGGTGAATAAAGTGACAGCTATGGTGCGTACACCCCTTCGCTCCATTTTTCTGCGTGCGAGGAGAGCCGTCGTTTTCAAACCACTACGAGATCAGACCGTGCGAGCCGGTGTAGTATCGTGCAGAGAGATTTTGCATTCAGTCAGTCGAAATAGCCTCGTATAGTATGTGCTGAAGACATACATGACATCTTCTGTATGGTATTTGCTTGTATGGCATCGTGAATGCCAAACTTTAGCCCCGGCTGGGTTTGCAGTACGCCAATCGCACGCAAAACGTGACGCGTGATGTTTCCAGTGGTGATAGCTAGCGTGGAGATTACAATGTTATAGCATTTGCTGGAGGTTAAGAGAGTGCGAAGTGCGAAGGTGGCAAAACCGAGTGGAAGCATTGGCGAGAATTCTTCGAGCGGTACAGACCATGCTACTCACCGCCGAGGTCCCGATATGGCAGGTGTATCAAGAAGAGTAAGTTCAATCAGAATTCGGTCAAATCAAGGTCAAAGGTCCAGTGCAAGGAAGGTTTGGATTGGGGATTGGATAAAGTACTAAGGGGCGACAATTATATACCAGTAAACTCATTGTCAAATTCTCGCTGCGAAATATCCCCGCGCTTTAGCTTTTTGGCCATGCGCTCTTCTTTCGCCAACTCTTCCCAGTCATCTTCGTCTTCGTCTTCGTCCTCATCCTCACCTTCGTCCCTACTTCTCTTCTTATCAGCTGTCTCTTGTTCTTGGCGTTTCAGCCATTGGCTCTTGCTATCTTTCTTGTACTTTCTCTTCTCTTTTACCTCTTTTTTCGTCGTTTTATCACTCCAAGCTGCATTGGCCTTTTTCTTCTCAACAGCCTGCTTTCTCTGACGCTCTTTCTCAGCCACGGTATGCGCTTGTTTCTGATTTTCGAGTTCTGCTCGGCGATTGGCTTCTTTCGCAGGATCTGTGTATGCATACGCGTCCCACTACGGCAATATTAGTTATCTCCGGGAGTATAGGGAAACCATTGTAATATGCCACCTACATCCACATCAGCGTCTTGCCAACTACCCCGATCGGCGTCTTTGAGCTCTGGCATCCGCGGTAGGCGCAACAGGCCAAAACTTTTGGCCACTCCAACGAGGTCGAGATCTTTTATCCGAAAAACATACGACGCCTCATGCTTTGAGTAAGCACGGACAAAGGAGACGAATGCTTTGACGGCCTGATGCACAGGGCAGTCAGAATTGCTCGAGATGAAACACTAAGTTGAACTGTGACATACCTTGTCATAGAGTGTTCTGTCTTTGATGACAATCTTGCGGATCTGTTCCAAGGCATCCGACACGGCTGGATCCTCTGCTTCATCGTCGACATTGTTCCGCGGTGATCCGTCCTCGGCAAAGGCTTGACATACCTTGAGTGGGATTTTGCGTACCGCAAGGAAGTCTAGGGACATGATACGTACATAGTCAGAAATTCGAGGCTAGAGGACATTAGTACATGTGCCCTTGCTTACCGACATAGTCCGTCTCGCGCCCAACCAAGAAAGCCCAAGCTCGACCACTCCGACCTGCTCGAGCCGTACGGCCGCAGCGGTGAGAAAAGGTTTTGGGGTCCGAAGGGGGGTCGAATTGTACGACAACGTCTACGTCAGGGAGGTCCAGTCCTCGAGCTGCCACGTCAGTAGCAAGGAGGATCTGAGGCGAGGTAGGGGTCGCAGGGCTCGATGCAAATGCGGCAAGAGTTTTCGTACGCGCTGTAGGAGGGAGATGGCCGTGCAGAGAATGGAGGGTACCGTCCACCGCTAGTACAGAAAGAAGGACCTACTCGAAGAATAGTCCATCAGGCATGCTCAAAAAGAAGAAAGCAGATCACGCACCCTGTAGAAGTAGTCCACGCAGGCACAGGTTGCGAAGTAGACGATGAAGCGAGACGACCTTTGATGGTAGCACTCGTGACGTATCACCCGTGCGAGCTGGACCAACTTCTCCGACGAGGGACACTCGAGATAGAAATTATGAAGACTGCAAATATAGAGTCAGGCCATTGGCTCCGCGACGGAGTACAAATGGGCCGATGTTAAGCGACGTACTTCGCAGGAATACGTCGCTCCTCTATCACCTCCTTGATCTGTCTTCCGGCTATGCCATCGGCTCCGCGTGTCCTGCTTTTCTTTGATTGCACTTTTACGACAACCCGCGCAGGGTTTCGTAGGCCGACTCGTACCAATT